GTGTCCACAGATAGAAATCATGTTATGTATATAATTTATCAGATCTAAATACAAAATAAATATGCAATAACTAAAAATTGCACATATATTAAACACCATATATATGCACCTTTCATTCACTAAATAACTGTCCTCTGTGGCGAATGAAGGTCACCTTCTTTTTGGCCAGCACTTATTTCCTTATTAGAGCTGGGCCTTGTCAGAGAATACTGTTATTTATGTGTCAGAAGGTGACTACATAAATGGAATTCTTATCCCTGGATGAGACTGATTGGAGTCATATTAAGCCTTTTAACAAGCGGTTGCCTCGCAATCCCATTACATCAGATATATATTTTAACACCCTCCATCCTCATTCAGACTTTCGTGATGAACTGTGTGTGTAACTCATGCATCCATGGGCATCATGTCCACTGTGCCTGGGGCTAGTGTGCAGTGTATGCAGTGTGTGGGGTAAGAAAGCATGTATGTACGTAGCGGGGAATGTGGTGCGACTAAAAGAAAGACTACCCACTTATCCCCCCAATAATGACAGACAATGCATATTGGATGAAACAGGCCACAGCATTTATTAAAACTTACAACTGTAGGACACATCCGAAACTTTATTCTTTTCCTTTAATTCCAATATAAATAAACACATAAATATATTTACATACTATAATTAACATATAAATTAACACTTATTGCCCTACAGCCTTCAACTTAAATAACCGTCCTTGCCAACGAACTTAACCAGGTGCCTATGCACCAAAAACTTTACCCACTGGTGTCTCGCCTCCCCCCTCCTCCAAACCAAATTCCCATCATCTTAAATGCTCTACCACCAGCCGGCTCTTAGCTTGGTGGGCACGTCCAATTAGGTAACTTGAAAGTTTACCTTACAGAGCAGGGGAGGTTGAGACCCACCATGTCCATCTCCTGACATTCCATCTACTCCCCAACCCTGTTGGCAAGGACACGCTCCCCGCTAGCTGTGACGGAACAAAAAACATAAATTAGGGTGGGTGGGTGGCTGGGAGGGAAGTTGTTTGCTGGCCAGAATCCAAACAGGCACTGAGGTAAGATGATCCCTGCCCCACTACAAACACCTAACCACTCCCCTAAACACATACAGCCAATCACTAGCACCATACTAACACCCCACACACATGTGCCCTTGTACGTTTAGCTGTGCTGACTCCCCAGGGCCTGTGTGTGGGGTGTTAGTATGCAGTGTATGGGGTGTTAGTATGCAGTGTGTGCTGTGTGGGGTGTTAGTATGCAGTGTGTGGGGTCTTAGTATGCAGTGTGTGGGGTGTTAGTATGCAGTGTGTGCTGTGTGGGGTCAGTATGCAGTGTGTGGAGTGTTAGTATGAAGTGTGGGGGTCGTTAGTATGCAGTGTGTGGGGTGTTAGTATGCAGTGTGTGCTGTGTGTGCTGTGTGTGCTGTGTGGGGTGTTAGTATGCAGTGTGTGGGGTGTTTAGTATACAGTGTATGGGGTGTTAGTATGCAGTGTGTGCTGTGTGTGCTGTGTGGGGTGTTAGTATGCAGTGTGTGGGGTGTTTAGTATACAGTGTGTGGGGTCAGTATGCAGTGTATGCTGTGTGGGTTGTTAGTATGCAGTGTGTGGGGTGTTAGTATATAATGTGTGGGGTTAGTATGCAGTGTGTGCTGTGTGGGGTCAGTATGCAGTGTGTGGAGTGTTAGTATGAAGTGTGGGGGTCGTTAGTATGCAGTGTGTGGGGTGTTAGTATGCAGTGTGTGCTGTGTGGGGTGTTAGTATGCAGTGTGTGGGGTGTTAGTATGCGGTGTGTGGGGTGTTAGTATGCAGTGTGTGGGGTGTTAGTATGCAGTGTGTGGGGTGTTTAGTATACAGTGTATGGGGTGTTAGTATGCAGTGTGTGCTGTGTGGGGTGTTAGTATGCAGTGTGTGGGGTGTTAGTATGCAGTGTATGCTGTGTGGGGTGTTAGTATGCAGTGTGTGCTGTGTGTGCTGTGTGTGCTGTGTGGGGTGTTAGTATGCAGTGTGTGGGGTGTTTAGTATACAGTGTGTGGGGTCAGTATGCAGTGTATGCTGTGTGGGTTGTTAGTATGCAGTGTGTGGGGTGTTAGTATATAATGTGTGGGGTTAGTATGCAGTGTGTGCTGTGTGGGGTCAGTATGCAGTGTGTGGAGTGTTAGTATGAAGTGTGGGGGTCGTTAGTATGCAGTGTGTGGGGTGTTAGTATGCAGTGTGTGCTGTGTGGGGTGTTAGTATGCAGTGTGTGGGGTGTTTAGTATACAGTGTATGGGGTGTTAGTATGCAGTGTGTGCTGTGTGTGCTGTGTGGGGTGTTAGTATGCAGTGTATGGGGTGTTAGTATGCAGTGTGTGCTGTGTGTGCTGTGTGGGGTGTTAGTATGCAGTGTGTGGGGTGTTTAGTATACAGTGTGTGGGGTCAGTATGCTGTGTGGGTTGTTAGTATGCAGTGTGTGGGGTGTTAGTATATAATGTGTGGGGTTAGTATGCAGTCGCTCATGGCGATTGAACTGTGTGCATAGGAACTGAGCGCTATTCGGTAATATTATGCGCTCAGATCCGAGCTATCTGGGGATATGTTAATTGTGGGTATTCTGTTTGGGAGTTGTGAAGTTATATATTTTCATGCATTTCTGTTATACTGTATAAAATGGAGGTTAGGCTCTATCCTCGGAGATAATTGAGTTACTTCCCAATTATCTCCAGGATAGAGAGGAGGGTCCTATACAGTTAGAAGGGAGTGTTTATGTCTGTAACACTGTGATTGGCTACTGTAATATTCTTGTCACAGTTTTCCACCAGGTCCCCTATGGGAGTGTCCACCTGGTGGAAGACCTGCATTAAAGGCGGGCATGTAGCCCACATTAAACCAGATTCCTGCTTGACCCTCAATACAGAGCCTCGTCTCATACTTGGGGGGATTGTTCATATGGTTTTCCTGTTCGGCTGTTTGGAGTGTGGATTATTCATATGCTTTCTTGTTCGGATGGTTGGAGTGTGGATAATTCGTATGTTTGCTTGTTCGGCTGATTGGAGTGTTCGGTAGCTGCCTTTACATTCGGGAAGGGAATATCTTAAACGGCTTCAACCCCAGGGCTCGAGTCCTGCAGGAACGCATGGGAACGGCGTTCCTGCACTTTTTCCAAAGCAGGAACGCCGTTCCCGTTACCTGTCCTGCAGGACCGGCCCTGCTACCTGCACAGAGGGGCCATCACACGCTGTGTTCCCTCTCCAGCTATAACTCTCGCGAGACCCGCGGCTGTTACCATGGCAACGCTCCGCACAGGCGAGTCTCGCGAGAGTTAGAGCTGGAGAGGGAACACATTGTGCGATGGCTCCTGTGTGCAGTGGCTGGCTCCCTCCACCGGACCACCAGGCGATCTCCCCCCTCCCTGACAAGGTAAGAAGCAGGGAGGGGGGAATGAAATAAACACATAAAGTAAAAAAAAATGCTTCCCCACACATCCAGCACTCACACACCCATCATCCAGCACACACACACCCATCATCCAGCACTCACACACCCATCATCCAGCACACACACACCCATCATCCAGCACACACACACCCATCATCCAGCACACACACACCCATCATCCAGCACACACACACCCATCATCCAGCACACACACACACATCATCCAGCACTCACACACACATCATCCAGCACCACACACACATCATCCAGCACACACACACACATCATCCAGCACCCCACACCCATCATCCAACACACACACACACATCATCCAGCACACACACACACATCATCCAGCACACACACACACACACACACATCATCCAGCACTCACTCACACATCATCCAGCACTCACACACACATCATCCAGCACTCACACACACATCATCCAGCACTCACACACACATCATCCAGCACACACACACACATCCAGCACTCACACACATCATCCAGCACTCACACACATCATCCAGCGCACACACACATCATCCAGCGCACACACACACACACACACACACATCATCCAGCACTCACACACACGTCATCCAGTGCGCGCACACACATCATCCAGCACACACATCATCCAACACACACACACACATCATCCAGCACCCACACACACACATCATCCAGCACACACACACACACATCATCCAGCACCACACACACATCATCCAGCACCCACACACACACCATCCAGCACACACACACACCATCCAGCACCCACACCATCCAGCACACACACACTCATCCAGCACACACACACACCATCCAGCACACACCCATCCAGCACACCATCCAGCACACACACCGATCCAACACACACACACACCATCCAGGCACACACACACACATCATCCAGCACACACACATCATCCACAGCACCCACACACACATCATCCAGCACACACACACATCATCCAGCACTCTCACACACACACACACACACACACATCATCCAACACACACACATCATCCAGCACTCACACACGTCATCCAGCACGCACACACACATCATCCAGCACACGCACACACTACATTCATTATACACACTCTTCACTCACTACAAACACACTACATTCACTATACACCCTCTGCATTTACTATACACACTCTGCATTCATTATACACATTCTGCACTCACTACACACTACATTCACTATACACACTCTGCATTCACTACAAACACAAACACACTACATTCATTATACACAATTTGCACTTACTACAAACACACTACATTCATTATACACACTGCACTCACTACAAACACACTACATTCACTATACACACTCCACTCATTACAAACACACTACATTCACTATACACACTCTGCATTCATTATACACACTCTGCACTCACTACAAAAACACTACATTCACTATACACACTGCATTCACTATACACACTGCACTCACTACAAACACACTACATTTATTATACACACTGCACTCACTACAAATACACTACATTTATTATACACACTGCACTCACTACAAATACACACAAATACTCATCCAGCACTCACACACACATCATCCAGCACTCACACACACGTCATCCAGCGCGCACACACGTCATCCAGCACATGCACACACTGCATTCATTATACACACTCTTCACTCACTACAAACACACTACATTCACTATACACTCACTACAAACACACTACATTCACTATACACCCTCTGCATTTACTATACACACTCTGCATTCATTATACACATTCTGCACTCACTACACACTACATTCACTATACACACTCTGCATTCACTACAAACACACTACTTACACTGCATTCATTGTACACACTGCACTCACTACAAACACACTACATTCATTATACACACTCCACTCACTACAAACACACTACATTCACTATACACACTCTGCATTCATTATACACACTCTGCACTCACTACAAAAACACTACATTCACTATACACACTGCATTCACTATACACACACTACATTTATTATTCATACTCTGCATTCACTACAAACACACTACATTCATTATACAAGCCCTGCACTGCACTATATGCATAGGAGTGTAATTTTTTTATTTTTTTTTAAGGGGGGGGAGGGGCGGAGGCGGGAATCTTGGGTGAGTTCCCACACTTTTTTCTCCAGGACTTGACCCCTGTTCAACCCCTTTTATCCCCGGGATGCTGTTACAGTATGCAGTGTGTGGGGAGTTAGTATGCAGTGTGTAGGGTCAGTATGCAGTGTGTGTTGTGTGGGGTGTTAGTATGCAATGTGTGTTGTGTGGGGTGTTAGTAGGCAGTGTGTGGGGAGTTAGTATGCAGTGTGTGTTGTGTGGGGTGTTAGTATGCAGTGTGTGGGGTGTTAGTCGCTGTTACTGAGACATGGTGCAATGAGAAAAATGACTGGGACATAGCAATACCAGGGTACTCTTTATATAGGAAAGATAGGGAAGGCAAGAAAGGGGGAGGGGTGGCCTTGTATGTGAAGGATAGCATAAAATCTAGCCTAATAAAAGTTAGTGAGGCAAACATAGAGTCCGTTTGGGTTACGTTAGAATTTGGTAATCACACAGTAACTCGTGTAGGTGTGATTTATAGGCCCCCAGGACAAATTGAAGAGTTAGATAATCTACTAGTTGAGGAAATAGCTAAAATGACAATGAAGGGGGAAGTTATCATCATGGGTGACTTTAATCTTCCTGATGTAAATTGGAAAACAAAATTAGCTACTTGTGCCAGGAGCACACATATTCTAAACTCCCTACTGGGATTGTCTCTAAAACAAGTTGTTGAGGAGCCAACTCGTAAAGAGGCCATACTAGATTTAGTGTTAACAAATGGAGATTTAGTATCAGATGTTACTGTAGGTGAAAGTTTAGGATCCAGTGATCATCAGTCAGTGTGGTTTAATATAAGAACAGTGACTGAGTCACACCACACAAAAACAAAAGTTTTAGACTTTAGAAAAACAGACTTTTCTAAAATTAGAATATGGGTAGAGGAGTCATTATCAGACTGGAGCAATTTAAATGGAGTCCAAGAAAAATGGGATTATTTAAAAGTTGCACTATTGAAGGCAACAGAAAATTGCATTAGGCTTGTCAGTAAAAGCAAAAAATTCAAGAAACCACTGTGGTACTCCGCAGATGTGGCCAAAATAGTTAAAAACAAAAAGTTAGCATTTAGGAATTATAAAAAAACCCAGAGTGAGGGAGACAAAATGGTCTATAAGATTAGGCAGAAAGAGGCTAAGCAAGTTATAAGAGCTTCCAAATCACACACAGAAGAGAAAATAGCACAGTCAGTAAAAAAGGGGATAAAACATTTTTTAGATACATAAATGAGAAAAGAAAAGTAAAACAAGGATTAGTTAGATTAAAAACAAAAGAAGGAAGGTATGTAGAAGAGGATAAAGGTCAGGCTGACTGCCTCAATGAATATTTTTGTTCTGTATTTACAGAAGAAAATGAAGGAAAGGGACCTCAGTTGAGAAAAAGGATAAATGAGTCATTTATTACACGTGAGTTTACAGAGGAAGAGGTTCTATTCAACTGTCAAAAGTAAAGACAAATAAGTCAATGGGACCTGATGGAATACACCCAAAGCTATTAAAAGAGCTTAGTGGTGTACTAGCAAAACCATTAACAGATTTATTTAACCAATCATTTAACAGGAGTAGTCCCAGAAGATTGGAAGTTAGCGAATGTTGTGCCCATTTACAAGAAAGGTAATAGGGAGGAGTCGGGCAACTATAGGCCAGTAAGCCTTACTTCAGTAGTGGAAAGTGATGGAAACCATGTTAAAGGATAGGATTGTTGAACATCTAAAAACACATGGATTTCAAGATCAGAGACAACATGGGTTTACTTCAGGGAGATCATGCCAAACTAATCTTATTGATTTTTTTGATTGGGTAACTAAAATTATAGATCAGGGTGGTGCAGTAGACATTGCTTACCTAGATTTCAGTAAGGCTTTTGACACTGTTGCACATAGAAGGCTTATCAATAAACTGCAATCTTTAAGTTTGGATTCAAATATTGTTGAATGGGTAAGGCAGTGGCTGAGTGACAGGCAACAGAGGGTTGTAGTTAATGGAATATATTCGAAGCTTGGACTTGTCACCAGTGGGGTACCTCAGGGATCTGTACTTGACCCATTCTCTTTAATATTTTTATTAGTGATATTGCAGAAGGTCTTGATGGTAAGGTATGTCTTTTTGCTGATGATACTAAGATATGTAACAGGGTTGATGTTCCAGGAGGGATAAGCCAAATGACAAATGATTTAGGTAAACTAGAAAAATGGTCAGAATTGTGGCAACTGACATTTAATGTGGATAAGTGCAAGATAATGCATCTTGGACGTAAAAACCCAAGGGCAGAGTACAGAATATTTGATAGAGTTCCTAACCTCAACATATGAGGAAAGGGATTTAGGGGTGATTATTTCTGATGACTTAAAGGTAGGCAGACAATGTAATAGGGCAGCAGGAAATGCTAGCAGAATGCTTGGTTGTATAGGGAGAGGTATTAGCAGTAGAAAGAGGGAAGTGCTCATGCCATTATACAGAACACTGGTGAGACCTCACTTGGAGTATTGTACACAGTACTGGAGACCGTATCTTCAGAAGGATATTGATACCTTAGAGGGGTTCAGAGAAGGGCTACTAAACTGGTTCATGGATTGCGGGATAAAACTTACCAGGAAAGGTTAAAGGATCTTAACATGTATAGCTTGGAGGAAAGACGAGACAGGGGGGATATGATAGAAACATTTAAATATATAAAGGGAATCAACACAGTAAAGGAGGAGACTATATTTAAAAGAAGAAAAACTACCACAACAAGAGGACATAGTCTTAAATTAGAGGGACAAAGGTTTAAAAATAATATCAGGAAGTATTACTTTACTGAGAGGGTAGTGGATGCATGGAATAGCCTTCCAGCTGAAGTGGTAGAGGTTAACACAGTAAAGGAGTTTAAGCATGCATGGGATAGGCATAAGGCTATCCTAACTATAAGATAAGGCTAGGGACTAATGAAAGTTTTTAGAAAATTGGGCAGACTAGATGGGCCGAATGGTTCTTATCTGCCGTCACATTCTATGTTTCTACACATATACATCACCCTCGCACACACAGCACCCACACACATACAACACCCCAACACACCCTGCACACTAACAGCATCCTCACAAACACACAAAACCCACACACAACACCCGCACAGCACCCACACACAAACAGCACACTCTCATACAAACAGCACCCTGACAAACACACAACACCCGCACACAAACAGCACACTAACAGGACCCGAACAAACACGCACACACAAACACCCTCACACACACACACACACACAGCACACTACCAGTTCTCTCACAAACAGCACCCTCACACACAGCACACTAACAGCACCCTCACACACACACACACACAGTAGTGTGTGTGTATACATATATATATAACAGATATATAAATATAACTATATATATATATATACACACACACACACACACATACATATACACATGGCGTGTGTTTGTGCTTTAGGGTGCACACCCTAATGCAATAGGCTGCGCACGCCTATGCTCACTTCCCTAATCTATAGGCTGCCCCCCCATGCCTCACTCCCCTAATCTATAGGCTGCTGCCCCCCCCAAATCTATGGGCTGCTGCCCCCCCCAAATCTAGAGGCTGCTGCCCCCCAAAAAAATCTATAGGCTGCTGCCCCCCCCCAAATCTATAGGCTGCTGCCCCCCCAAATCTATAGGCTGCTGCCCCAAATCTATAGGCTGCTGCCCCCCCAAAAAAATCTATAGTCTATCTCAAACCCTCCCCCCATCCCCCACTTACCTGATCTGTAGGCTGTCTCTGGCTGCATGTGTTGTTCCCCTGCGGTTTCAATCAGCAGAAAAGCAGGGATAAGATGCAGCTTCCTATCCCTGTCTCTCTCCATACACAGCGCCACATACTGGCCCGCACCGGTATTGCAGTTCATTCTAAATCTCACACGAAAAAAGCAGAACAAGCTGAAAAATCCAGGGGGGGGGGCAAGTGCCCCCCCTTGCCCCCCCCTGCGGACGCCCATGCCTCCCATGCCTTACCCTTCTGTCAGTCCCTACATTGGCTTCCTATAAAATATAGAGCTCAATTTAAAATTCTGGTTCTTGCTTTCAAATCTCTACATAATGCTGCTCCCACCTATCTATCCTCCCATTTACACAAGTATGTCCCATCTAGGCCCTTACGATCTGCTGAAGACTTACGTCTATCTTCTGTCCATACTCCCACCTCTGATGCTCGCCTTCAAGATTTCTCGAGGGCTGCACCTGTGGAACTCGCTTCCCTCCTCCGTTAGATGCACACCCAGTCTCCACTCCTTCAAAAAAATTTAAAAACCCACTTCTTCATAAAAGCGTATCAATTAAACTGTTAATAGCTCCTGACTGATTCCTCTTCTGCAACTGTCACTAGTCTAATACTATCCTTACCTTTTTGTGTCATTTTTACCCCACTCCCTCTAGCATGTAAGCTCATTGAGCAGGGCCCTCAACCCCTCTGTTCCTGTGTGTCCAACTTGTCTGGTTACAACTACATGTCTGTTCGTCCACCCATTGTAAAGCGCTTTGGAATTTGACGGCGCTCTATAAATATCACAATATTAATAATAATATCTATTGTAAGAAAACATGTTCCTCTCTTTGATCATGTCTTTAAGACGATAATAGCAGTTAAAAACTATTTGACATTTTTATAACTAGGAAAGTGAGGTACGGAAGTTGATGGCAAATTAATTGCTCCAAACCCTGTGATTACATAGGCTAAATTTTATTTTGGCTCAAAAGACTCATAAAGTAATGGATGCATTTTAGAAGCAGAGATATAGGGATGGTTGTGAGCAGACAATAAGGCAGTAAATGCAGTGGCGAAATTAAAGAAGAGAATGCCCTGGTTCAAGAAAAATGGTTTGTCCCCTCC